CTAAAAATTATTATTTTATCAATAAATGATCATCATTTAAGGCATCTCAATATGCCATACATCCCCAAAATATTGATATTAACTTCCTCCACAAGATATCCTCCATGTTAATGACTCATTAAAAGAATGCATAAACTACAAGGGAAGAGAAAGACAAGCATTGTTCTTTTGGCATTTATAAATGAAGAAATATTGCACAACAACATTAATCTATTAGATTCAAAACTTGAAAGACTCAGAGCTGCATTTTGGAAAGGCAGCATTAACATCTAATATCTACAACTGCAAAAACAAAGAGTAATGAAGTGTTAAAAGTTGTATTAATTATAATCATTAACTTCTATATTCAAGTACATAAGGACAAAAAATAAATCCTACATTAAAAAAAATATATATGCTTACATACTAGAGAAAACCAGCAAAGTTTTACATGCAATTTGCACTGTTAATAATATTTACAGGTGAAAATATTGGCACATTGGGTGAGAGATTTACTTAGGAATAGCACAGAATATTAATTAAGCAAAATATATACATGTTAAAATCAATTTCAAAAATCTATGAGAAAGTACATATTCAGTAAAATACAAAAATAGGATAATGTTGAATATAATACAAAAATAATACTAAATGCAATTAGTTGAAATATGATAAATACTATACATATTTAAGAATGAGTCCCTTGCCACCTCTGAAAATCCCATTAGTCACTTCCAGACAGACAATATGCATAAAGCAAAACGCAACAGGGCCTGTGGATTACTGAAGCTCATTTCCTTTTGGCTGTAAATACCTCCTTTCACATCCAACAGAGTTCTTGCTCTTTTAGTTCTAAGAAGGCACGTTAACGAAAAGCATCCCGCAGATTCTTAAACTGTTCAAGTGCAGAGCTTTTTAAAGTGTATTTTCATGCCTGTGCCTATACAGAAGTATTCTCAAGGCACATCAGCTCATAATTATTATTGATTTTCAACTGTTATCAGAATCATGAACAATATTCTCATTAATAACCTCATTAATACTGATCATATTATATTCCTGTTATCATAATTCTCATTTTCAACAATTTTTTTCAACATAATCATCCAATATATTAAATTTTGGTTTTATCTTGCATTACTACAGAAAATAATTTAATGTAATTTCACACATCTATAACACACACTCCCACTCTCTTTAACCCCAAAAAATGCAAGAACTAGCCATATAAATCACAGCTCTTGCCAATATAATACCTAAAACAGATTGAGAAACATCTAATAATCATTCAGAAGATACTTCTTTCCTATATCCTTACTCAACATCAGCACAGCAGTCATACTCTAAATCTCTTCCACTGCGATAACACTACCTCACTCGGATGGGGGAGGAACGGGCCAAGGCAAACTGAATTGGTACTTAACCATATCGCACACCTGTACATTATAAGCATCACAAACTATGGGCCTCTTCTGTTAGCAATGGTTGAACAACAAGGGCTGAACAAAAAAGGAGACTAGACTCAATGTCATTATAAATAATAAAGGTATTTTAAAGTTTAATTCTCAATTTTTACTGATGGTCAGGACATGAAAGGATCTCATGTATGTTTTTTTTTACCCAGTAGTTATGGTTGGTAGGTTTGTTTTTTCATACTAAATCTTCAAAGTATAAGCTGAGAGTGATAAGTAATAAACATAAAAATGAATAAGCAGGAAGCTACTTAACACACTGGTTAATAACCTAATAAGAACATACATTCCTTTCTTTCTCTCTTTTCTCTCTCTCTCTCTCTCTCTCTCTCTCTCTCTCTCTCTCTCTCTCTCTCTCTCTCTCTCTCTCTTTCTCTCTCTCTCTCTTTCTCTCTCTCTCTCTCTCTCTCTCTCTCTCTCTCTCTCTCTCTCTCTCTCTCTCTCTCTCTCTCTCTCTCTCTCTCTCTCTCTCTCTCCTTTAACAGCAACTATTTTTTTTTTAACAAGAAATTCCATAATCAGATAAATATGGTTTTGATGCATTTCTTCAGTCTCTAACTTCTTCCATTGTCTGTCTCTCTTCTTTGCATTCTGACTAATACATCAACTGATATAAGCTATAACAAATTCAGGCTCACACTGAAATTCATATTAACTCAATGTCATCAGGCTTATTTACTGTCCCCTTTACATTTTAGTGAGTTTTGTTACATACAGATGGCTCCGCGTGTGCTCAGCAGCAAGGAGTCGATCAGTTGGCCCGAGTGAACGATCCTGATTTCCCCATTCCTTGAATTGGCAGGCAATGCATTTTTCTTTCCATTACTATTAATACTGACATTGTTATCATTCTTATTGATATTATGAGTATTAAACTGTTAATAAAATATTAATAATATCAAAGATAATAATATAATTGAAGTGAATTTCTCAAAAAACGAAGGAAAAGGGTAAACAGATGAGATACATAGGACTAATAGCTGACTCCTTGGTGACTAAGCACTTGTAGAGCCATCTATGTGTAAAGACAATAGATAAAACCTTTAGTA